GTCGACACCGACATCGCATGCAACTCGCGATGCCACAGAACATTTACATCCTGGACGGTCTGATTTTTGTCGCGTTGATTGCGCTCTTACATTTTCAAAGGTGTGAACGTTTTTCCGCGGGAAACTATATTCCAGGTCCATACTTTCAGATCTCACTCAAATTTAGCCCCAGGTTTACTAAAAAAGTACTACTTTCTAGAATTTCGCTCACTCGAGGCCCAGATTATGTTCAAAACTGGTCCTGCGGGGCGAAGTTTTCGACACGTGTCCAATTTCGCTTGGAAAATTTTTCGACGGGGCAAAAAATAATAAAACCCCTCGGGAACTAGGGCACATTTGCGGGAGGGATCAAACCTAAACACCAAGCGGGTCCCCGTGTTTAGGGTTGGTCCCTCCCGAACGTGTGTCCTGGTTCCCCTAGGGGTTTTATGTTTTTTGCCCCCGTCAGAAATTGCTAATACGAAATAGGACACGTGTCAGAAAAAGTTTGCCCCGCAGGACCAGTTTTGAACATAATCTGGGCCTCGAGTGAGCAGACTTCCAGAAAGCTGTACTTTTTGAGTGAACTTAAGACTAAATTTGAGATATTTTTGAAACTATGGAGCTGGGATATACTCTCCCATTTCCCGCTTTGGGAAAATCACCGCTGGAGCGACGCGTGGCCACGACGGCCACGTCGTTGCAGCCTAGTACACGGTGGGGACAGTTTGGATCCCTCCTATTGGTCCGCGTGGCGGCCGTCGTGGCTTGACGTGGCGAGCTCTCTTATTAGTGTCCGCTGAGATTTACTTCAGGTATATCATCCCAATATCGAACTCCCCAAGTGGTTTCCGCCCTTCCGCGGACTCTTCCCCCAACCCACAAAAATGGGTTGGATTCGCGTGCTTGCTTGACTTCATCGCTCCTGTGTTTCAGAAACGAGTTGAATTCGCTTCCCAATCAGGCTGCGTGAAAGGGTGTGAATCGACAATACCCCCAAAAACGCAACTTAGTATGTTGACCGCAGTTTTAAGTGAGCTTCGGATGCTTCACAACCCCAGACCTGACCTCTGTACCCTAAGGACGCGTTACCTCAACGCCGATCGCAAGATCGATCCTACGTAGGTTCGATTTTTTGTGTGGTTTAATTTGCATCTGCAAGTGTTTTCTACGATGCGCGTAGTTTCAATGCGGTGGAAGATCGAGATTTGACGATCGATCGCAGGATCGGCGTTCAGGTGACGCGTCCTATCTCCCAAGTGTTTCGCCTACACGAACCCAGAATTTCCCGCATTTCTCTCGAGTAATTCGCTGATGAATATTAATCTTGCCTAAATACGTTTGCCTCTGGCAGGGCCGCTCATCCCACTGCCGCCATGCCGACTTGGGAACAATCGTCTGCCAGGTCAGCTTATCCCACTGCTGGAATGGGGGCATGGGGCGATCCGGCGACCCTTCCAGATGTTTCGTACGTAAGTCCCTCGTTTGTAGATCACGTTGCAACACCTCCTGTTATAAGCTCCTCGGCCTTCGGGTTTCAGGCGGGAAATTCGTCTCGCCACGTCAGCGTGACGGCTCCACCGATGGAGCCCGCAGGACCGTCCGATGCGGATTTCGCGCCGAAATCCATGGACGAACGTTTTCAAAGCATCTTGGCAAAGAGAAACCGCCAGGTTCGGGCTACTGAGGCCGCGGTTCGGCAGACAGCGGCGCGGCAGGCTCGGATCGCGTCTCAGCGGCAAATCACGGTAGAAGACGTTCACGCTGTGGCGAACATGGCGCCAGATTTCGCGCCGCGTTTCACGGCGCATGTTCCGGTGGCGGCTGCTGCTGGGTTTCATCAACCAACAGATCCGTTATTGGACGACTCGTTTGTAGGTTACAGAGGTCGTGCAAGTGAGATTCTGGAGGACGAGGAGGAGATGGAAGATGCGACTATAGATGATTACAAGACAAGTGGCTCTAGGGGTGTGATTGCAAGCAAACACGCCACGCTGGCAGCTGGCGGTTCTAGCAACCTGCCGCGTCACACCTCTGATCCCGCTGGCAGACGCTCAGCCAATCACAGCGCTCCTCCGGCCAAAACCCCATCCCCATCCGCCGCAAAAGCCGCCGCCGCTGCTGCTTTGGCCGGTAGTCGCATTAATCAGAACTCTCAAACGGTCACTGATCGTTCTCACCGTTCTGATCGCATTATCGATCGGGGAAGGAATTCTGGCCGCCACAAGTCCACTCAACCTTCTCCTCCTCCTCCTCTTCATCCTCATCAACATTCTCGTTCCGCTGATCGTTCTCGTAATTCTCCCAATGCCGCTGCTCCTGCTGGTCGGATCGAGAGGCCAGGTTCAGGGAAGGCTGCGGCTGGCGCTGTACTCGATAAGAGCGTCCCCGCTAAGAGAGTACCAGTGAAATCGCGGCTACGTGTTCCTGTACACATGAGGCTGTCATTTGAAGGCTCAGATTCCAACCCTTCCCCAGCTGCAGCAGCAGCAGCAACGGCAGTAGCCGCAGCAGAAGCACCACTTCGCTTGGTTCCCACAGCTGGTATCTTGTCTCTTCCCCATGCAACCCCTCTTGTGCCTGCTGCCAATCTGGGTGGAGTAATGACGGCCTTTCATCCGCCTTTTTCCACCCCCTATGTTGCTGCTCCCAACGGGCCTCTCCTTCCCAATCCGGTGCTCTTTCGGACCGTACCTGTGTCTGTTGGAGGTTTGGTCGGAGGTTTGGTGTCTCCAGACCCTAGGTATAGGTTTGGTGCAGGAAGGGTTGGAGCAGAGGTGCAGGGAGGGGGGAGGGGGAGAGAAGGGAGGGGACATGGCTTGGGTCAGGGAAAAGGGAGTGAGAGAGGGAATGTGAGTGTGGCATCGAAAGCAGCATTGGATGATGAGATTGAGTCTTACATGGCTGAGAAGTATCAGGGAAAGGGAGGGAGATGATGATGTGGTGTTTGGAGGGTGGAAGAGGAAGGAGGGTTGCTCTGAAATTTGCTATGTCTGGGAAAGGAGGAAGGGTGTTTGGGAGGGAGGGTGGGCAAGTGAGAGGGTGGGCCTTGATGTGTATTTTTGAATATATGTACTTCTACAGCAATTCCATTCCGAGTTCAATATTTTTTCCCAAGCATCTGTCTGGCCTACTTTGGTGACAATCAACTTGTAAAGTAGAGTTCATAGGCACGCTAGGTTGTTCGGATTATGACGTATCGAACTGTCAAGGGTATGCGGGCGAATCTTGTGGGAGAATGTTTCTTGTTTCGCGATCGTCGCCAACGAACGAATTCCGCGGGCTACAACGGGAACTGAGAATTGAATGGTTCGGGCGCATCTGGCGCTGTGAGAAGGTGCTTTTGGTGTGGACGGTTGAGATTTTTTAATCTAACACGAGGAAATTGCGCTGTATTCGCGATTCGCTATGCATTTGAAATTCCTCCGACGTGCAAAGTAGATTTGCACTTTCACCCAGCTCTAGAATTACAAGTCCCAGAATTCAGAGAGACCAATTCCATTAGTTGTTCTCGCCATTCCTTCGATTTCACATTCGCCCTACTTGTGACAAACACATACAGTTTCCCATCTGCATTAGAAGCCCCATCTCGTAACATCTTCTTGACACATCAGCCAATGGAGCGTTTGGATGATTATCTCGAGCCGAAATCGATGGACGAGCGCTTCCGCAGCATCTTGGCGCAGAAAAACCGTCAGGCCCGTCGTGCCGAGGCTGCGACTCGGCAGGCAGCGGCGCGTCGCGCTCGAATCTCTTCTCAGAGGCAAATCGTCGTAGAGGTTGAGCAATCTGTCGCGGAAAGGGCGCCGCATTTTCCGCCGCCTGGCCCGGCGGAGAAGGTGCCCAGCAGCAATAGTATGTCGCGACACGGCGAGCGCACGCGGGACGGGGAGCGCACGCACTACGGGGAGCGCACGCACTACGGGGAGCGCACGCACTATGGGGAGCGCACGCACCATGGGGAGCGCACGCACCATGGGGAGCGCACGCACCATGGGGAGCGCACGCACCATGGGGAGCGCACGCACCATGGGGAGCGCACGCACCATGGGGAGCGCGCGCACTACTGGGAGCGTACGCACGGGGTGCGCACGCACTACGCACGGGCTGTGAACACTGTTAAAGAGGAACCTTATACCGAAAGTCACAACCTCAAGGTTTGGGCCGAACCTGCTGGTGTAGGCACGGCCAATCACAGGGCAGCTGGTACCCCTCCAGCCGTACACGCTTCCGGATTGGCCGACGCAAAAGCAGCCGCAGATGCCGCATTCGCTGGCAAAGGTTCGTATCCTCACCGTCCGTTTCACCACCCGTCTGAGGTTCCAAGGTTTACGTACGATGCTCCTCGTTATCCTTTAGGAGGAGGAGGTGGACGATGGGGGAACAGAGGTAATGGCAGGAGGAGACGGAGGAGGAGGGGGGGTCGGGGCAGGCAAAACGAGAGGATACCACCTTTTCTGTCACTGTCGCTGTCGCTTTCATATCCGCCTGTCTGGCAGAGGGGAGGGTGGTAAGGGGGAAGCTTTGCCTCGCCTGGACTTGACTGCATTCAAAGAGGCGCAATTCACGCCTTGATAAACCCGACAGTATGTTTATGGCTATGCCAGCAATTCAACATACGTATGTTTATAGTGGTTTATAGGAGCAGATTTGGTTTGTAATGATTTTCATGACTGGAGTGACCTTTTAGGTGAACCGGTAGACTTGTTTTCTCTGGCGACTTCTCAAACCCTTCAGCAACAGATAGGTGATTCCAGTTCAAAAGAAGCAAATCATAACAGCATAAGGCAGCTGCTTAAACATTCCTCGCAGGCCTCTACATGACAGCCTGTACAGTCACTCTTGTAACGCATATACCTCCAGCTCTTGGGTCTATTGTCGAGTAAATGATGAGCCACCTTGCCTTGCTCCCAGTACCACCGTATATGCAGCAGGGCCTCATGGGATGACCTGTCTCGGCTACATATGCAGCAGCACTGTGTCATGGAGTGACCCATTTTGGCAGCATCTGTATTGTTGCGTCATGGGGTGGCCTCTTTTGGCCGCATCTGCAGTGTTGCCAGCAGTGTGGTCGCCAGGGCCTCACACATCTCAGCAGCACTCGCCTCATGCACACACGCTGACCCAGCTCCCGACTCCCCACTTCCCCCTCCCCCACTCACTCCTCCCCCTCTCCCCCCGCCCCCATTCCCCCCTCCGCCACTCCCCCCTCCACCTCCCCCTCCCCCTCCCCCAACTCCGCTGGTGGGGGGGAACACCATGAAGGCATGGTCTAATTTCCGTCTGCTCCGCACCACCACTGACCCCGGCACCTCTGCATCAGCCCTTGTCACCAGCCCGTCGCTTGCTGCTCCGTACCTAGTGGGTCAGAAGGTATGGAGATGAGTAGAAATGGGCGAAGAGGCATGGAGAGGAATGGGGAGTGCAGGAGAGGGAGTCAAGGAACGTGTTGAAATAACCCGCACCTCCTCACAATCCAAACCTACCTGTATTCCAGATGGACGGCCACGATCGCAAGCCCAGCCGACAGCGGGAATCCAACGGCCAGCTTTGCATTCTGCTGCGCCAGCCACGGCACTTCAGTATGCGCCACAGTCGACAGCGATGCCACCACTGCTGCCGCCTTACTCGCCTCCGTATGAAAGGACAGTATCGGAATTTCCCCCACCGGAAACGGGTGCTTCGCGAGAAAATCCCTCCTTTTCGCATGGGTCAAATCGTCCAAGCACCGGATATCCCCCCCGAAAATCTTATCCATGAGAATCCCAAGAATCGTGCGGGATGCCACGTCACCCCACTGCCCTTCCCGGAGCAAATCCGATGCCACAGGGCTTCCCCCGTAGGGACTCTGAATGAAGACGAGACCGGCGACTTTGTCAAGCAGGAGGGGCTGGTAGAGGGAGAGGGCTGCTGCTGCATCCATGGCGCCCTTGCTGTGGCCTAAGATCAAGATCTTCTTCTTCGTCGCCCAATAAAGCTCTTCGATATAGTCACGGATGACTATAGCGTTGGCTTCTATTGGAGCCTGCAAGGCGGAGAGGGGGAGGGGTGGGGAGAGGAAGGGGGGGGGGAAGGAGGGGTGGAAAAAGGAGGATAAGATTTTACAGAAATATATCTTCAATATAGTCACGGATGACTGTGGAGTTGGCTTTTATGGGGAGCCAGGGGGAGTGGGAGAGGGAAAGGGGTGTTTGTGGGAAGGAAAGGGAAGGGAGGATGGGGGAGAAGAGGGAAAGAGGAGTCATGGATTGAAAGAATAAAAAGACCCTGTGCAACATACACCCACCGAAAACCCCTCACCTGGCACCCACCTGACACCCACCTGACGCTCACCTGACGCCTACCTGACGCCCACCTGACGCCCACCTGACGCCCACCTGACGCCCACCTGACGCCCACCTGACGCTCACCTGGCTGTGGATCTTGGCAATGTGGCAGACGAGGCCGATGGAGGAAAAATGCTTCTTGGTGTCAAACAGATAGAGCGGGCTAAGATTGCTGAATAACCCCGGAATTAAAAGGTAGACCAGGTTGTCGGGCAGCGCATGGATGCCACTCCTGCCGAAAGAAAGAAAAGAAAACGAAGAAAAGGAACAGATGATAATCGGAAAAAAAACACGGAAACAAGAGATTGCAGGGTTACAGTGGAATGCAATATCCCAAACATAAGCCGGCATTCATGGCTGGAATGCCATCAGGCCATGCAATGCAGCATGGCTGGAATGCCATCAGGCCATGCAATGCAGCATGGCTGGAATGCCATCAGGCCATGCAATGCAGCATGGCTGGAATGCCATCAGGCCATGCAATGCAGCATGGCTGGAATGCCATCAGGCCATGCAATGCAGCATGGCTGGAATGCCATCAGGCCATGCAATGCAGCATGGCTGGAATGCCATCAGGCCATGCAATGCAGCATGGCTGGAATGCCATCAGGCCATGCAATGCAGCATGGCTGGAATGCCATCAGGCCATGCAATGCAGCATGGCTGAAATCCCATCACGCCACTCGCATAACACAATGCGGCATGGCCTCATAGTGGCAGGTGATATTCGAACTTCTTGACAATGCCACTCAAACAACTCACATGACACACTCCAGAATCGCCTCGTAATTGTCAGTGACATCCGTCACAGGGGGGAGCGCATGGTCCTTTTTCAGCCACCCTATGTCGTCAGAGGAGCCTTTCAAAAGAGCCTCCACACCGCCCACAAGCCTGACGGGAAAGAAGAGAGAGATGCAATGGGAGGAGGGAAAGCATCAGTTGAAGCAGGGAAAAAAGGCGTTCTTTTGAACCACAAGCATGGCAGCAAAGAAGAGAGAGGTAAAGCGGGAAGAGGGATGCTACAACCATTCAAGCAGGAAGGGCAGTACCTTGAAGTATCTCACACTACCATTTGGTACCTCACAGTACTTCACGGAACTTTGCAGAACCCCGGAATAACTGACAGCACCTCACAGTACCACACAGTACCTTTGCCAGGACATTGAGAGGAGAGGTACAGGGCCCAAACCCTGCTGCCGTTGCTGCTGCTCCTCCTTCCTCCGTTTCTCCTCTTTTTGCCGCTCCCACCCTTCCTTTGCCATTTGAACCAAATCCCCTTCCGAGTAAAAATGTGACTCTATCGAGTGTGATTCTACTAGATTTGATTCTATCTGATGTGATTCTATCTCCACTGGTGCGACTGATCCTCCTTCTCTCTCCCGATCCTGGTTGTCAGGTCTGGGGGATGATGGGTTGCTTGCTGACGTGGACTGGAAGGAACTACGATAGATGTGTGACTCAGGACACGTGTGCCGATGACGTGGAGGGTGTTCTGAGCTGTTGCTGACGCCAGCAACATGGATTGTATCGTTTCTGCCGAAACTGGGAGAGCTGAGGCTGTGGGAAAGCTTCTGATTAAGCAGGAGGGAGGAGGGGTGTGGATGGGGGATCGGAGAGAGAGGGATGGGGAGGAAACGGAGAAGGTAAAAGGGTAAGGGAATGAGGTTGCTGGTGTGGGAAGGGGGAGGGTCGCCTGGAAAAGGTTAGAAAGCAGACACACAAACACCACACTGAAGAAGAAACCAACATAGACAAGAAGAGGCCCCCATCAGCAGTTGAATTCAAGGTTAACATACCGTATCAGGTACTTGTCGCCCTGACAGGCTCGCCCCCATCACAGCACTTGTTTGCTGCTTGTCTGCAACAACACTGCTCGTGCCACCAGCACTTCCCAATGCTGCTGCTGCCGCTGCTGCTGCTGCACTCATGTCCTCTGCAGCACTTGTCTCCTTCTCCTCAACAGCAGCACTGATCAAGCAAGCAGCGCTGCCCAATGCTGCTGCCCCATTCTCCCCGTTCCCAGCGCTTGACTGCTTGCCTTCAACACTGCTCGTGCGACCAAGGCTTCCCAATGCTCCTGCAGCTGCCGCCGCCGCCACTGCCACCGCTGCTGCTGCTGCTGCTGCACTCGTCTCATCATCAATACTTGCTTCCACCACTTCTGCAGTTCCTGCTGCCCGTTCACTTGCCCGCAATTCTAACTCTTCCTCCCCAGACCCGGCTTGAAGTAATGTAATCATAGGTGAATCCCCCCCTTCTTCCATCTTCCCACCCTCCCCCAATCCTTCCCCCTTAGCGCCCTCCTCCACCCTTGCCCTTCCGCCTTCACCCAGTCCTTCCCTTCCGCCCTCCGCCTCTCCCCCCCTTCCGCCCGCCCCGTCTCCACTCCCCTCTGCATCACCCTCGATCTCATCAAGCCTTTCCCACCCTCCTGCTCTCCTTTCCTCCTCCTCTCCACGCGTCCTGCTGCCATTGGCTGTCAACTCCGTCGGGATTTCACCACCGTCAGTCAACTTATCACGACCATCCGTCAAGTCAATTTCTGGTGCCAAACGACAACTCGACTCTGCTGCTGCCGTTACGACAGCAGAACCTTCTCGCGAAACTTCATGAACAGTAACTTTTGCAACAACTTCATTCGCAAGAGTCACAGCGCTTGAGTCACTGGCAACGGCGGCTTCCACAGTCTCGCTATTAGCATCTCCGCTCCCTTTGCCGATGGAAAGGAGGCTAAACCGCAAGTCTCTAATGATGCTCCACGACATGACGCAAACCAGTAACGAAACTGGTTTTAAAAAAAGTAGGTGTCATTAACGGAGGATTTAGAGCCTTATCTTCAAGGATTTCAGAAAAAATAACGTGTGAGCACGAAATGCGCAACCGCTAAACCTGGTAACGTTTATAACTCGACGAATAAGCCGCCACCCGTCCGCCTAATGACAGCGTAACCCTGTGACATTCGTCAGCAGCGAACGGAGCTAGAGGGAGTTACTAGCGAAAAGAAGCAACAGTGGCAGAACGTGAAGGAAGATTCGCGGAGTACTGTGCGCACAGGTTAACGGCGCCACGCGGGGAAAACGGGGGAAGATTCGCGGAGGCGATTGCGCAGACGAGACATCTCAATGCTGAGCGAGGGATATCGACGCGCGGAGCGACGCGAAACTGACTCAGCTGCAAAAGCGGGCCGCCGGAGGGACGAGCTGCCACGTAGTGCTTGCTCTTGTGAGCACGTGCTGATCTGGCGTCGACTATTATGGACGCGAAGAAAAGCTGGTGACAGGCTGGCTGGCCGTAACTTCAAGAAATAGCTCTCCCATTTCGTACGCTCATAGACTAATTCGATTTGGACTTTTCTGAGATTGCCCATATTTTGTTGCTCTAAACGAAATGGAAATGCCTGGCTTTGCTGGATCGTCGAAACATGCTGCCAGTGACAGTCCGCCACGCGTCACCTTCCGAGGTTTGCGCTCACCCGCAAACAACCCATGCACATGCGAATCGCGCCCAAAATGTGCGACGCGAGAATTTCACTCATCCAGCTAAATTTCGCCCCCCATTTTTCCCCATTCCCTGCCACTTCCTTTCCACTCCCACTTCCTCTGTTTTATTCCCAAAATGGTGCCCACGCCGGTTTGCCTTTCTTTGCACCGCACGCCCCTCTCCTACTCCTCCCTCCCTCGTTCAACTCGAACAAGACCAGCAGCATTGGCGTTAAATTTCGTCGCACCACTAACAGCAGATCTTGCGCACGTAGCTACCAACAACCGGAGTTAACTAGGCGACTGACAGTCTTACCTGCTGACGCCGCTTCTGTCCATATTACCGTACTGGTCCTGTCTTAGCACGCACTTCCTTACCTGCTGCCCAGCACAATGTCCACGTGTCCTGATTGGATGGATCCGTCCGTGGATGACCGCAACAGGAAGCTCATGTGCCCTCCACCTGCAATACATGGTGAGTAAAATGGGAAGAAACTCAGGAATTTGAATAGGAATAAAATCTCCTCAACAAGTGCCATGTAAAGCCCTTGCTAGGGCGGAGATTGTTTTCCTTCTAATTATTTTCATCCTCCGCGCTTTGTGCAGATGAAAGCATAATGGAGGTGGCAAAGCAGGAGGAGCACTCATCCATGGATCCTTCATCAGCTTCTCAAGACGTGAAGCACCATGGTGATACAGCCGCTGCAGAGAGCCTACATCTAGGGATGCCTTCAAATCCCAGTGGTGGACACACAGTCTTCACCACTGAACAGGATCTTTCTGGCCCTTCTTTTGAAGCACATCCTGCTGTTGCCCATACGGCACAGCGGCCAGATCAAGGGCCTGTTGCTGAAGGAGGAGGGAGCAGTGGTGTTGGAGGGATTGCAGAGGGGGGAGGAGGAGAGGGTGTGACGGGCGATGTGAAGGGTGGGAGAGGGACTGGGGATGGAGGAGGTGGAGAGGGTATGACTGGCGGTGTGAAGGGTGGGAGGAAGGCGAGGCGAGGACCGCTTGGCCATGTGCGAAGCTTCCTAGAAAAGGTGGAGGAGAGAATGCATCGCAGTCCCCGGCAGCAGCGACAGGAGCCAATTAGGCAGGTCCACGTGGAGGCAGCAGAAAGGGAGAGGCCGCAGCAGGCACAGCAGAAAGTGATGCAGCAGCAGCAGCAGAAGGGGAAAGCAACTGCACCAGAAGCAGCAAGGCCTGCGGAGGCGTCGGGTGTGGGTGGGGTGGGCGTGGGAGGGAGTGAAAAGAGGTCTGGAGGGCTGGGACGACGAGCAGAAGGCCGTAGCTTGTCTGTTGGAATGGTGGAAGAGGAGGCGGGGGGAGAAGAGGTCAAAGAGGGGGGCAGAGAGGAGAGAGGAGAGGAGGGCAAGGAGGGGACAGAGTCGGGAGGCATTAGTAGCGTGCAAGGTATGAGGGAGGAGGAGGGTATGGCACAAGGGACAAGAAGCCCAAGAGGCGGATTCGTGAGGAGGATGAGGGAGAGGGTGAAAGGGGCACTGCACCCACACCGCCGCCCTGGCAGGAGCCGCAAGGTATATGGAGGGGATCACATGTGTTAAGAAAAAAATGTAGTGGCAGTTTTTTTATGCCTGCAACAGCTAGAATTAGTGTAGGTAATCCCCTGTATGCTCTCCATACTCTCCCTTTCGATCTCAACCCTGCTTCTGTGTACTCCCCCATCTTCCCCTGTCCTTTCCCTCTCTCGTCTGTGCTCCTCCTCTCTGTGCTTCCCCTCTTCCCTCTTCACTCGCCTCAGCGGGATCTCAGTGGCACGCACACACGATCCAGCAGCGTCGACAGCCCCATGCTCAACCCTTGCCCCCGCTTCAATCTCACCTTCCTGTGTGTTTGTGCCCTCTCTTGCCTCCCTGTTTCTCTTCTCTTTCAGCTGGACCTTAGCGGTTTGAATACACCATCTAGCAGCGGACGCAGTCCCATGCCCCTCTGATCTCACCTTCCTGTATGATTGTGCCAACTTTCTCCTCTCCTTTCTCTTATCTCTTCTCGCTTCTCCCCTTCTCTCTTTCAGCTGGACCTCAGTGGCATGACACACCCTCCAGCAGCGGCGGTAGCCCCATGCTCACCCCTCGCTCTCCATTCAAGCTCACCATCATGCGTGTGTGTATTTCCCCCATCCTTCCGTCCCCCTTTCCTCGTACTCAGCTGGACCTCAGCGGATTGAGCACACCATCCAGCAGCGGCGGTAGCCCCATGCTCACCCCTCGCTCTCCATTCAAGCTCACCATCATGCATGTGTGTATTTCCCCCATCCTTCCGTCCCCCTTTCCTCGTACTCAGCTGGACCTCAGCGGATTGAGCACACCATCCAGCAGCGGCGGTAGCCCCATGCTCACCCCTCGCTCTCCATTCAAGCTCACCATCATGCGTGTGTGTATTTCCCCCGTCCTTCCGTCTCCCTTTCCTCGTACTCAGCTGGACCTCAGCGGATTGAGCACACCATCCAGCAGCGGCGGTAGCCCAATGCTCACTCCTCGCTCCCCCCCTGAAGCTAACCGGTTTCAAAGGGAGAGGGGGGGAGAGAGGGGGGTGGAAGGAGGAACGGGGGGAGGGGGAGAGAGGGTGTTGGCGGGAGGAATAGGGGGGGTTGGAGAGGGGGTGCTGGCAGGAGGAATGGGGAGAGAGGGAGAGAGGGAGGTTGTGGAAGCAACAGGGGGAGA